ACCAGGGATTGAACACAGTACCTTGTGCTTGTCAGGCAAGTGCTTATTCTACTGAACTATCTCCCCAGCCCTTGGACAGATTCTTGCTAAATTGCTGTGTTGCCCAGACTGGAGTGAAACTTGTGATCCTCTTGCCTCAGCCTTCCAGAGGTCTAGAATTACAGGTATCTATCACAATGCTTGGTTTGCGAATGGATCACTGAGTTGTAGGGAATGTATGCTGTTGTATAATTACCACATCAAAATATAAAACATAGCATCATGTCCAGAACTTCCCTGTGTGAAGGGATCAGTTGGTCTCAGTGTGATCCTTTGGGCGGCAGGAATGAGAAAAAGAGACAAGAGCTGGGTTAGGTGATAGCCTGTCTTCTAGGGTAGGGAAAGGACTTCTTGAACAATAGGGCTTTTATTTATACTTTTTTTTTTTTTTTTTTTTTTTTTTTTTTTTTTTTTTGCGGAACCAGGGATTGAACTCAGGCCCTTGTGCTTACCAGGCAAGCACTTATTCTACTGAGCTATCTCCCAGCTCCTTTATTTTTAACAAATTTGCAAGACACAAGGTTGCCTAGCAACTAATAGCCCACAGGGTCCATGCAGGGTGTTTTTCTCAAGATGAAGGCAGCTTGCCTGCTCTAGGCCATGAGGCCTCATCCTGCCCTCGCACATGGGATCAATTTCAGCTTCAGAACTTCTGACACCTGCGTCCTTTCTTAATCCCTTCTCCTTTATCTCACCCCCTAGCAAACATCAATCTGGCTTTTTTTTTTGCGGAACCAGCAATCTGGCTTTTGTTCCTAAAGTTTTGCCTTTTCGAGACTCATCAATGACATCGTGCAGTGTATGCCCTTTTGTGCCACCTCATCTTGTGGCATATATTGTTGACAGTCAGCCATGTTGTTGTATGTCTCAGTAATTTATTGTGTGTTTTTCAGTAGGTTTTGTTTTTCCTTTTTTGTGGTACTAGGGGAGTGAATCCAAGGCCTTCACATAGAGCTACATCCCCATTTCTTTTTATTTTCTATTTTGAGACAGTCTCACTAAGTTGCTAAATTGCCAGGGTGGGCTCAATTTTTTGATCTCCTGCCTCAGCCTCCCAGAGTGTTAGGGTGACAGGCATGTGCCCTGGCACCCAGTTTAGTCATTTCTTTTTATAGCTGATAGTTTCCCACTGTGTGGGTGTATGGACAACTTATTTATCTATTCATTAGCTGACGGTACATGTCATCTGTTTTTGTGTCTCTCTCCTTTTTTTTTTTATTATGAACAAAGCTGCCTCAAACATTTGCATGTAGGGCTTTCTGTTGGTACATGTTTTCATTCTTCTTAGGTAAACACCCACAGGTGGGATTGCAGGGTTGCGTGAAATGTTTATGTTTAGTTTTATAAGAGTTCGTCCACATACGTATAATATTTAAATGATGGAACTAAACAAAAAAAAAAGGAGATATAGATGAATGACTATTTTGTGTCTGTGTATTCAAAATGGTTAGGACAGATATATAGCTACATTCTCAATTCAAGGAATAGAGGGATTTGTTCTAATAATGTTTGTAAATAGGATATCATGTCTGCATCTTGTACAACAAATAACCACTAGGAAGGCAGTATGCAATGTGTTAATTATTGGAACTGTCCTACCAATTTGATTTGAAACTGTCTCATTGTTATTTATTTCTCAATAAAATTATGGAAAAAAAAAGAGTTTGTCACACTGGTATCCAAAGTGATTGTTTTTGTGTGTTGGGTTAATGCAGACTTCTTTGTAACTTTATTTCTCCACTGGCCCTTCCTTTTCCTGGAAGCTCACCATACTGGTGAGAGTAGTTTTAAAATAGCAAAATTGCTGCCAAGGCACATCAGACAAAAGAAGCCACATTTGGCAAGAAAACACTTTGATGAGTTCTCGCAAAGTGAATGCAGCTGCATAACCACACCCAGATCAAGAAATAGAGTTCTAGGCCAGGGAGATAACTTGGTGGAATAAGTGCTTGCCTGGCAAGCACAAGGTCCTCAGTTCGATCCCTGGTACTGAAAGAAAGAAAGAAAGAAAGAAAGAAAGAAAGAAAGAAAGAAAGAAAGAATTCTGTAGGCTCACTCATGTGCCTATTCTTACTCCTTCCTTATCCTCCTCAAAACTATTTTCTGGAGCTGGGGAGATAGCTCAGTGGAATAAGTGCTTGCCTGGCAAGCACAAGGTCCTGAGTTCGATCCCTGGTACCACCACAAAAGAAAACAACAACAACAACAACAACAACAACAAAAACCAACAAAACTATTATCTGACATTTAATAACATACAATAAGAGAATGTAGGGCTGGTGAGATGGCTCAGTGGTCTAAAGCACCTACTTAGAACAAGCAAAGCACAGGGACCACGGATCAATCCCCCAGCACCACATGCCAGCCAGCCCTGCCCCCTGGTGGGCTGAGCTGGCCACACACACACACACACACACAAATAAAATTAAAAAGAAAAAGAGAATGTATAATTGAACTATAGCATACTTACAAGATTTTTTTCCACCAATAAAAAGACCAAACTACTTATATACATATCATGAATAAACTTCAGAGACATTCATTGAAACAAGACAGATGCTAACATACCTATACTATAATAGGCAAAATGAATTTGCAGTAATAAAAATCAGAAAGTGATATCTGGGTGTGAGGATAATTAGTGGGAAAGGAACATAATTTTGAGAAATTTTCTGGGGTAATTATGAAAATCTATCTTGACTTGGCTGGTTATTAAAATGAGTGCTCTCTTTCCAGCCGGCGCCGAGCAATGGGCATCTCTCGGGACAATTGACACAAGCGCCGCAAGACCGGGGGCAAAAGAAAGCCCTATCGCAAGAAGCGGAAGTATGAGTTGGGGCACCCTGCTTCCAACACTAAGATTGGCGCCCGCCGCATGCACACAATCCGAGTTCGAGGAGGCAAGAAGAAGTACCGAGCCCTGCAGCTAGATGTGGGAAACTTCTCCCGGGGCTGAGTGTTGTACTCGAAAAACAAGGATCATTGATGTTGTTTACAATGCATCCAATAACGAGCTGGTCCGCACCAAGACCTTGGTGAAGAACTGCATTGTGCTCGTTGACAGCATGCCACACCGACAGTGGTGCGAATCCCACTATGCACTGCCCCTGGGCCGAAAAAAGGGGGCCAAGCTGACTCCTTAGGAGGGGGAG